ATCTATCTATCTATCTATCTATCTATCTATCTATCTATCTATCTATCTATCTATCTATCCCCCTCCCTCCCTAACCCACCTAACAGAGTTTTTGTTGTAAGGATTTTGTTGTAGGATGAGGAAGAACTATTAGGTATATTCACTGCCTTGAGTTATTTATAAAAATAATAAAGATGTGCTTAAAAAAAATCAAAAATGAAATTGGTCTTTTGAACCTTGAAAGCTTAAAGCAGCATGTCACCCCCTAAAACTCATGAAGCCCCCTCCCAAAACATGATGTAATTTTTGGAGTTTTGGAGTGCAACCCTCAATGTGGCACGCAAAGCAAGCTATGGTTCTTGAGCTGGTGGAAACTGAACACCTCATTTTTAGGAAAACTTTATTTATTTATTTGGTTTCTATAGCCGCCCATCTCAGCAAGTGATTCTGGGTGACTATAGAAATCAAATCAAATCAATCGTAAAGTTTTATAACTTTTCCAAACCAGATACTCTCTAGACATGTTGCAATTACAATGCCTCAAATTCCTAACCAGTTCTGGTTGGGAACTCTGCGTGATGTAGTCCCAACCCAGCTATAATCTATAAAACCAAAAATCACGGCCTCAGAAATTGTACTGTATGGGACAATTTTCCAAGAGCTATGAAGTTTTTTATTCAAATAAAACACACTGCCAGGTATTTCTACAAATCACTTTCAAAGCCATTAAGAAACAAGTACAAATTGCAACAACATCACACAGCATTTAGTCACATTTAAATAATAGGCACAAGCACTGACTGTAAACTCAAGGAATCTTTAGAAATATTTGTTTCTTTTATTTCTAGGCAGAGATACAGTCTCCTGTTAAATCAAAATCATATCTAGATCGGACTAACTTCACTTTTGGCCCTGCCTTGTCAAGCTATTTTCAACCCAACATCACATATGTTTCTGATGGCATTCATCACAGTAACCTTGAAGGCTGTGCAGATTTCATTTTCAATTTTAGTCATCCTATAATCTCTTTCATAAACTTAAAATTGAATTATAAATACAAATGGAAAGAAGGATGGGAATGGAAGAGGAAATTGGCAAATTTAATATACTAATTTTGACATTAAGAATTATGACCTTTCAGGTGTTCCTTGAAATCAAATTGTGCATCCCTTACCCCACCCGATCTGATATTAAATTAGGGACAGGAAACATTTATACAGTGACGTAGATTTTTAAAATCTTTTTTGGGGGGCGGGGACTAAAAACACTTAGGATTTGTGGTAGTGTCACAATGTTGTTTTCACCAGATGCACAAGACCAAAATGATTAAAGTTCCACTTTTCATTTTGCCACTCGTATTTCAGAGTTTTAATAAGACTATCCATTTTATTTGTTTAAAGATTTCTTTTAAAATACATTTTATTTTATTTTTTTTCTTTAAAGATAGTTTTGGCAATACAATCTTGAGAATCTTCCAGGGATTGAAGAACAGAAATACAAACGGACCACTCTCCCTCATTACCACGGCCACAATAAACAGACCCATTTTAGTGACCATTTCTGAAATTCAAAAAGAGGCTCTGTTCTTTGTAAAACACACATTCTTCATTCATATTGGAGTGAGCTTTCAACTTTCATGGGCCCTTCAAAACTCTTCTCCAAATTGCAGAGTATAATGCCAGTGCAGTTATCAGAATGGCAATCTTATATTAGCATTTCCCTATTAGCCGCTATGGCTATTCCAGAAAAGTTGAATCATCAGATGCCACATTCACTACACAGTTGCTACTCTTATTTGAGAGGGATCCCAGCTCAGCTTAGTTTGTTTTCATCCCTGTTATTTCTCTATCAGAATTCTGGAATGTGCAGAAATCTGGGAATAAAGATCCTTGCTCTTTATAAATGCCTAGCATTCCTCTAACTTAACAATCAATTTGTGCACAGAAGACACAAAATGACATACACACAATCCCACCCTAGAAGAATACTTTATAAAACTTTGCCATGTTTCACCTTTTCTTTCCACCATCCTAGGTTGTTGGAAGATGTACAGAATGCTCTACTGTGCATTAGATCAGATCTTAACTCTCTAACTTTATTCCTGGGCTGATCCACAAGCAAACACATGCACGAATGCTCCTTTTAGTCAGACTGGATGGTAAATTGTCCCATATGCCATTGCAAGTGTGTAAATGTTTTTTGTCTTCTTGCAAAGTGGTGCCAGCTGACGTAGTGCTGGTACAGCAGCCTTC